GTATGTATGCATGTACATCGGACTACCTCATTTTTAGTTACCAATGATCTTACCGAGGTTCGCTACAATACTAAAATTCGTACTAAATTTACGAAACAATTTGTTTCGAAAACTACAAATTTTCAAAAATCAAAGCCTGAAATCTAATTAAAATTTTTTATCCATTCTATGTATAATTATCCTGCGTAAAATATTATACTATGGCTGACTGGCTTGGCTTATAGTCTGTAAGATATCAGTACGTACAAAAGTCTGTATCATGTGGACCCACCATTACAATAAAAAACCTCAGTGTTATTCTAAAATAGTTAACTTATATTGAAGTCATAATATGTTTACTTACACAATTTAAAAACTCAACATATACGTTTAAAAAAATGTTTGCCCGTCTGTCTGTTTGTAGATCGTATCGTATACAAGCTAACAATCAAATTTTTTTAATCCAGAAAATTTCGGTGTCATATCTATACAGCCACACGAGCGGAGACGCGAGACAAGACTAAGTCATTTATTTAAATCAGTATAGATATACCATACATAAAGGCATTCATTTTATTGACTACTTCTCACGGGTATTAATTAGCGCTAAAAGCACTAATTAGAAAATGGTGTCAAAGATATTCGATTTATTTGACGAAGTTACGGTGTTTCATTCAGAATCTACGTCTGTGACTTTACTTTGATGGAAGCCAACGTAATCAAGATTTTTGTTTGAAGAAAAGTTTTGATAGGTAAAGTTTAATAATTTTAATTAGTTATTCATGGCGAAGGATTTATTACACAAAAAAGTATTTATGGAAAAATTTAATAATAATTTGTGAATATTTAAATATTTTCATTGAAATAGACGTAGGACGGTTCAAATTCGGGTCTCGCGAAATATTTTCATGTAATCATTTCAATATAATTACGATTTTTTTTACGGTTAAAGAAAATATTGTGAGGAAACCTGCATGTCTGAGAGAGCCTAGCAAGTTTTCAAAAGACATGTGAAGTCCGCCAACCCGCACTTGGCCAGCGTGGTGGACTATGGCCTGATCACCCTTGTAGTAAAGGGAGGACCCGTGCCCAGCAGTGGGGCGTTAAAGAAAGGGTTGAATACGGATACATGTAGGTTTAGTAACATTAAACATTTATATAAGTAACTAAATCAGAAATCGTAAAATATAGGAATATACACAATAGCCTTAGGCTTATATAACCCTACAGGGTTAGGCTCAAAAACCGAAAACGTTCATTGTGCGAAAAAAGTTTCCAAATGCGTTGTAGCCAACTCGAAAAGCCAGCATGCTGGACTTCAGCCCGGTTCTCCTCCTCCAAATTTAAATGGGACCTACAGCATTAAGGTTATAAAAAGCTAAATATATTTTCCTTATATCTTGTCCTATTTTCCTTCTACGTTTATAATTTTCATAATTATCGAATGGTTAAACAAATACATACGCAAACACCAAAGTCAGTACCGACAAAACTCACAATCACTGCGCTATTACAGTCGTCAATTTTAGTCTATACATATAATAAAATTGTAACTAAGTCGAATCTGTACATTAAATATTTTTTGGAAAATCTAATTGAAATAGACATTATTATCGATACAAAGTCCGAATCTATAGTTTTTCGAATTTTTGTCCGTCTGTCTGTCTGTCTGTCTGTTTCCGCATCACGAGAAAACCACAGGACAGATTTTGATGAAATTTGGTCTGATGATAGCTGGTTATCCGGGTCAACATATAGGATACTTTTTAACATGCGAAAATATCTCATTTCTGAGAAAAAATACAAAAACTGAACTGTAAGAGTATACTAATATATAAAATCTAAGAATTTGGTTTTTGGTCATCTGAACGCGGGCGGTGCCCCGGGCAATACTAGTCATGTTATAAATATATAAATGAAGAGATACAGGCATTCGATAAATCTGTTGGCTGAGGTCAAGAGAACATCTGAAGCTAGCGACAATGTTATTTAATGGCATGCAATATCTCTAACAAATTAGACATTTCGAGATGTAGTGTTTTACAATGTAAGCCTTTTTATTTGTAGCCGGTACAAAATCTATTATTGTTAGATAATTTTTGTTGAATGGTAAATAGGATACTGAGATAGGATACTTGAGGTTCGATTTTCTTTTGAGACAAAAAAATAAAAAAAAATAGATAGATAAATAAATACTGTTCAGTCCAAAGTTGTTACCGAACACCGAAGCAATAATGCTTTGTAGATGTATTATAAATACATAGTAACACTCCTAAAAACGGCAGTGCATGTTCGGACAGCAATCAAACCGGCTGCGTTCATTATGATTCATTAGCATCATTAATTGGCATCAATTAATTAAAAGTATATCATATTATTAAATCAATAAATTGTACAACGATCTCAGATTGCATTTAATTTATCAAACATTTAGTGGTAGGTTGCGTCCCCTACAAATACTTTATAGTACACCAAAAAGAAATATCTAAAAGAAGAAATCAACAATAAATTATGTATCGTCATAAGCGATCTATTGCTAATGCTAATACTAATTTAGCACTTTGAACGTCCCACTGCTGGGCACGGCACTAGGTGGTATATGTCATCATTAGGAGGAATATGCATTAGTACATACGCTTGGCAGACTTGTTACGTGATTAAAGAACTAGTTAGACTCTCTAAGACGAGCTTCAAAATGCTTTCTGCAGGAAAACACTTTGAAGCCATATTAGTAGGTAGTAAGAAAATTTCAGAAATGCGAGACCTGAGTTTCGAGCCACATCACTTGACTTTTTTTATTGCGCACGATACCAATAAGATTGTTGATATAATTAGTTAAAAATATAATTAGTTATAAGTGTACATAATATTATTTGTTAATCTGTCTTTTTTTCATGTCGAGACAGATTAACAGATTGAGATATTTTATATATAACAGTTTATAAGAAAAAAATCCAGGTTTCTTTTTATCGCGTACATGAATTTTAATGTTGAATTTAAAGTTATGCCTTTTATAATAGGTAGGTACATTTATATAGTATTCAATTACATCAAACTTGGGGACTAAGTAAACAAGACTATCTAAGTAATCTATACATATAATAAAACTGTAACTAAGCCAAATCTGTACATTAAATATTTTACGGAAAATCTTATTGAAATAGACATTATTATCGATACAGAGGTCGAATCTATAGTTTTTAGAATTTTTGTCTGTCTGTCTGTCTGTTACCGCATCACAGAAAAACCACTGGAGGGATTTTGATGAATTTGGTATGGTGATACCTAGTTATCCGGCAACATATAGGATACTTTTTACCGCGGAAAAATATCTCGTTTCTGAGAAAAAATACAAAAACTGCATTGTAAGAGTATACTAATATGTAAAACCAAAGAATTTGCTTTTTGGTCATCTGAACGCGGGCGGAGCCGCGGGCAATGCTAGTCTAAGATGAGATCTATCTAAGATGCCTAAAAATCTACAAAAAAATGTATTAAAATGAACCTTATACATCATTGTGTTATTTTTATACTAGCGGCTCACCCTCGCTTTGCTCGGGTTTGTCCCTAGGGTTTAGTATGGAATAGATAAACTGCATATTATATAACTTATTTTCCCGTGGGAATTAGATCATCCTCCGCGTTAAAAAGTATTAATACTATGTCACACTCCAGCCCTCCAACTGTCTCCAAAGAAAAAATCACGCCAATCCGTCATTCTGTTTCGGCGTGAAAGACGGGCAAACAAACAAACAAACAAACAAACAAACAAACATACCCATTCTCACCCTCTTAAGGGATGATTTACGGGAGAAGAACTATTTCACTCACTTCATTCATTCATTTATGATTATCATGTGATTTAAAAAAAAATATTTTGGTAAAAAAAAATATTTTTTATTTTCTTCTATATAAAACTTCCTGACAATGGCAAACACAAAAAAAAAGAATTTGGTGCAGTCGATCCGAAGCTATGCGCGTACATACATTTCAGTGATTCATTTTTATTTATATAAATTAGTAATATTATTAATATGGTTTCTTAAACAATTGTAGAGTGACATCTTGTTTAAGAATTAAGATCTTGAGACCGTCGCATTAGGTAATGCGGATTATGGTCTTCTGAGCTTCGAGATATTTCGCATAGTTAATCCAAAGTGCCATGTCCTTGAAGTCACGCTTACGTCATTAATTACCGTACTTCCGGTACACGAAGCGGTAACGTGCGCTATACATCAGTCGAAACATGTAAAACAATTAAAGTATTTAGAACAGAGAGTATAATAACTATTATCTATATGTACAATAGATATTGAATGAAATGATAATATTGCTTGTAAAAATCTATATAAATAAAGTACAATTTGCTCAGATCTGATTTATATGTATTTGTTACTCAAACGAAAACGTAAAGAAGAAGTAATAAACATACAGACATTCACACACTTAAAATAATATGTTAGTAGATAATGCTTTATATGTATAATAAATAATAATTCCTTTATAAGCGTTATTTAGTAAATTTTTACTCTATATGCAAAGTTTTTTAATGTGTGGAAAAATTTGCACGTCAAGTCGATTATTTCCGCCATTACTGCGTGAATGATGGAAAAACTAAATAATAAATCACAACAAGCACTAAACATTAATATTATATTATTAAAATAAAAATATGTTAGTGAATTTTAGCTTTTACCTAATCTAAAACACGCGCAGTCCCGGAGAAAATCTAGTTTATATTAACAAAAGTATTTTAAAATGATTGAAAGCGTGTCAAATGCGTGTAGTTCGAACTGCTGCCCCCGTAGCCCCTATGTATATTGTACTTGCGATAAACATCAATCAAACCTATTACAGTAGTCAATAGTGGCTAATCAGTACAACTCTCACTCCACTAGCTTTTATGTGACTGCAAAGGAGGCAAGTTTATATATATATATATATATATATATATATATATATATATATATAAAGGTATAGGTAGATCCTCATTTTTGCAACAACAAAAATCTGACTCATAAATGGATGGCGTACCTAGGGGGGAAAGGGGGAGAGAACGATCCATCCCGGATGTCACCCGATTGGGGGTGTCACCCAATTGGGAGGTGACACCTGTCTGTTTGCAAAATGCAAACTAAAAACATTCTCCTCTCCTTTCTTGCTTTGTGAGTGCCATGTTGAGCTTTGGGAGTAGCAATTGTGAAAAACTTGTGATTGTGTTGGTGCTACCTGTTTATGGGATGCTACCCGATTACACGAAAAAATCATTCGCGTTCAGATAAACTTGGGAGTTTTTTTTAGAAATGCACCATCGACTACCGCCTCGGGTGTCACCCCTGCTGACTACGCTACTGTAACTGACTGACTAACTGAAACTTTCCCATATTTTACTTAATGACCCACGCTAAAAGTAACCATGTCACTCTCCACCGTAGAAACTAAAAAAATACGTCAGACTATTACTCCGTAACTGCGTGATAATGAAACAAACCTATAGACACATTTTCGCATACACGATTTCATTAAGTATTTATAAAATTCATATCACCTTTAATTACTAGATGTTAATTAATCTGGTTTAGTGCATATTTATGAAGAAAAATATTTAATATTCATTTTAAGCAAATTAGAACCTTAGAAGGCCATAGATTAGTTAAAGCGATTTGAATATACATATTTTTGTCTGTATAAAAATGACGGTCAATTCTACATATTATATATGTAAATATTTAGCTCTATTGAGAAACAAAGCAATGACCTTCATATACATATTACCGTAATGTTCTTAAAACTAATATACAAATATTATACATATTAACAAGTTTCAACACTCAAAACCCACTAAGTACAAATCTCAAGACCAAACTAAACAGACGACTTAATTCAAACAATAAATTATACTAAAAATCTTTCTCACAAGCCAATAGCAATAAAAACTTATAGAAATCCAGCGTAATTGTTTACACAGAAACAGATCTATCGAATGATCAACGTTTTTCGCATTCTTCGATAGCAAAAAGTAAATTGAGCGCAGTATGAACGCGTCCCATTATCGTTTTAAGTTTTTTACACGTCATTCATGGTTCCTACTTCAGTGCGGGTGAGAGAGCGCGCGAGTGATAGCGGAAATAGCGATATTTTTTTTTTCTTAATGGCCGTCTTTTTATTCTTTTTTTTCAGTTGGTTTCATTGTCAATAGACTTCAAGCCAATTGGGCACAGATTAAACTCGCAAATGTCACGTAAGGAGATTGATCAAAATAGGTTTATTATACTAGATTAAATTGCATGTTTATAGTTTTTTTATAAATAAAATATCTTCATTTAACTGGTGCTTTTGCATAATTACTAAAGTGATATTATAGTTTTGTTTTGACTTCACTAACCCACTGTTGAACCATAAAGTTGGAAACCAAAAATCAAAAATAAATCCGCCAAAAAAAAACTGAAAAGATAGTATTATTTAAAAATGAATAAATTATCTATACATATAATAAAATTGTAACTAAACCGAATCTGTACATTAAATATTTTTAGGAAAATCTTATTGAAATAGACATCGATACAGAGGCCAAATCTATAGTTTTTAAACTTTTTGTCTGTCTGTCTGTTACCGCATCGCAGTTAAACCACTGGAGGGATTTTGATGAAATTTGGTATGGTGAAAGCTGGTCAACCGAGTCAACATATAGGATACTTTTTACCGCTGGAAAGATATTTTCCATTTCTGAGAAAAAATACGAAAACTGCAATGTAAGAGTATACTAATATGTAAAACCTAAGAATTTGGTTTTTGGTCATCTGAACGCGGGCGGAGCCGCGGGCAATGCTAGTAATAAATATATTCTTATACTACCGTCCGCTAATCGCCGCCACTCACATCACTCCCCAAGCATAATAACAGCGCTTGAAAAAATATTTGCAAAACGGTGCGTGCGTGTTGAAACGATTTGGTAAATAATTCATATCTTCAACACAAGTGGGTCAAGTTCGCTTACGTTGCTTCCCTCCTATACGCCTATAAAGAAAATGTACTTAACTGTAAAATGTTATTTTAATAATCTATAAACATATATAATAAATTAGGAATTTAGTGAAATCTGTACATGAAATTTTTTTAATATACAATGACTGTAATGTATTGTGTACAGAATATAGACCCTAAAAAGTGTTGTCTGTTTGTCTGTTTGTGTGTGTGAATTTCACGCAAAAAGTACTCGCCCGATTTTAACTTAATTTTTTTAAAGTGATAACGTATAATTAGGGTCAACATTTAGGATACTTTTTACTAGAGGAAAATCTTTCATTCCCACGGTAAAACACAATAACTAGTTCTATCGAGTCGTCCTTAGAAATTTATATGACTAACTCTGGCTAAATCTTAAGAGGTATATCAATACAATGTACAAGAAAATTGTAGGTCTTAAAAAGGCCTACGGAAAGTGTCCAATAGCATGTGTCTATCTCCTAAAGTACGCTCAGAATAACTATTTTTATCTAATTAAAACGCCACCTTTTTGTCTCTGTGCAGAAAGATCTATCTCGAGTCTAGATATATGTATGTAATACGTAAATATATATGTACGTATGTAGGTATTACGTATTATATGTACATAATTTAGAAAAAAATTGACAACGTCAAAATAAAATTTATTGTATAATCAAAATTTATTTTAAAATATGTATATCCGAAAATAACATTAAAAATTTAAATAATAGTATAAAAAATGTTTTAAATACACAAAAAAATCGAAAATGTATATTACAAGACTTCCGCGATACCATTCAGACTAAGAGAGACAATAGCATTCCCAAGGAGGGTTGTCGTCAGGCAGGCGGCCGGTCGTAAAACTTTTGCCAAATCCTACCAGCAGTACAGAAGATGTACTGCGCCGACCCCAAGTGATCGGGAAATGGGCAGGGAGAAGAAGAAGAAGATGTAGGTATTACGTAATTATCGATGACTCCCGACAAGTCACTCTACTGAGTTCTTTCTTTATTTTATTAATTCTATAAATACCAAAGTTTGTTAGGTATTAAAAATATATATATGTATGGATGTAATAAACTACTGGATCAATTTTGGATGCAGTTTTATATGAAACAATACATTAATCTTCATAAAAATCATACCATTATCACAAGTACTTAATAAAGAAAAAACCCTTTACAGTATCATTTATTTAAACAGCTTATAATGAAAAATGAAAATAAATCTCGATAAAAGAAAATGCTGCGCGCAATTATTTAGCGACGCTTTTCATTGTAGAAAAATAATTATAGTTACGTAATGTTCACACACTGTAGAGACATCATTACTGTTGAATTTATATAGAAAAGACAAAATAGTTCTTTCCCTTTCTCCCCTGTTTGTCAACCGATTTATAGATAGCTAAATTATATTCATATATATTTTCCATAAAGTTTTAACAATGATTATGAAAGAATTTCAACCACTGAACGAACACTCGTATATATAATAATGATACTTTTATGAACATACTAGCGACTCACCCTGGTTTCGCTCGGGTTTTAATTTTTTTGAGCGGAATCTTAATTCTTTTTCTAAAATAAAAGTAGCCTATGTTACTCCCTATAACATCAGCTATCTTCCAGTGTAAGTCCCGGCCAAATCAGTCCAGCCGTTTCAGAGATTATCCATAACAAACAGACAGACAGACAGACGACAATTAAAAAAATGTGTTTTTTTTATATGTACCATATATATTTTCCTATGCATTTAGCAAAACGCTGTTATTTTGACATTACAAACAGACACTTCAATTTTATTTGTCTGTATAGATTGTTACGTGTGACTTAAAAATTAAAATTATAGCTAATTAGCTGCTAACCCTTGCTTCGCTCGGATTCGCAATAGAAAAACAAAAACAAATCTATCCCACGGGAACCGTACATTTTTCCGGTATAAAGCCTATGTACTATTCCAGATTATAATCTATCTCTTTGCCAAATTTCATCCAGATCCATTCAGCCTTTCTGGCGTGATTAACAAACATCCAAACATCTAAACTATCACATTTATAATATTAGTAAAATTAAGAAATTGTTAAGAGTTGTTAACTGAAGCTACTATATTACATACTAGCATTGCCCGCGGCTCCGCCCGCGTGCAGATGACCAAAAACCAAATTCATAGGTTTTACATATTAGTATATATACTCTTACATTGCGGTTTTTGTATTTTTTCTCAGAAATGAGATATTTTCCTGCGGTAAAAAAAATATCCTATATGTTGACCCGAATAACCAGCTATCACCATACCAAATTTCATCAAAATCCCTCCAGTGGTTTTTCTGTGATGCGGTAACAGACAGACAGACAGAAAGACAGACAGACAAAAATTCCAAAAACTAAAGATTCGGCCTCTGTATCAATAATAATGTCTATTTCAATAAGATTTTCCAAAAAATATTTAATGTACAGATTCGGCTTGGTTACAATTTTATTATATGTATAGATTATTATGTCCATTCTTAACTAAATATTACATTTCCTGGCGGCAACCGTTCTGAAGACCAAACTTAAATGAATGTAGAGACTTCGTATTCCATCTGAATTTAAACTAAGTCTCTGAGGATTAACAAAGAGACTAGAATAAACAAACTTTTCTTTAAAACTACTGTCTACTGCTTATACAGTTAGCAACTAACTTATAATTTAGCTACGCGATTATAGTCCGTATTGGTTGATAATAAGAGTTATTATAGAATACAAGATATATTATAGATTATATTATCATTTATAACATTTTAGCTTCTATGTGTATTGTGTTAAGATTGGTTTTCGTTTAAATTTTTTATTGCAGTTTGTCAGGATATTTGATTGCAAATATATTAATAACTAGCTTTCTCAAGAAATAAGAATAGAATATTTAATAATTTTGTGTTTTAAACATTTATCAAAAATATAGTAAGCATTATCTCTACTTAGATTTTGCAAGTTTTTCGTGATTATATAATCTTCTGTCATTTAATCTATACATATAATAAAATTGTAACTAAGCCGAATCTGTACATTAAATATTTTTGGGAAATCTTATTGAAATAGACATTATTATCGATAGAGTCCGAATCTATAGTTTTTAGAATTTTTGTCTGTCTGTCTGTCTGTCTGTTACCGCATCACAGAAAAACCACTAGAGGGATTTTGATGAAATTTGGTTTGGTGATAGCTGGTTATCCGGGCCAACTAATAGGATATTTTTTACCGCGATAAAATATCACATTTCTGAGAAAAAATACAAAAACTGCAATGTAAGAGTATCTATACTAATATGTAAAACCTAAGAATTTGGTTTTTGGCCATCTGAGCCGCGGGCAATGCTAATATTAACTAAAGTATGATGTGCCCTCCCGACCCATTTCGGCCAATCTCACTGATTGTGAGGTATTGGATAGGTAACTGCGCAGGAGATATGGACCGGTGAGAGATCAGGTGTAGGACCGACGCCTTTACATCCTTTGCGTGGGATAAAACACCGCAACCGACTTTCTTAACTGAAATACTCAAGTACTAAACTTAGCCCGACCAGGGTCTCGAATCCGGGACATCCGGATGTGCAATCGTACAGCTAGCCACATCCACCGAGTTAGGCACTTAGGCACTAAAAAGTATATAGGTTATAAGGCAGACATAACGCGCTTGCTCCCCTGAATCTCGAACCACTGATAATTTCTTGTACAATCACTTTCAACATTTATGCCTTACGATGAACATCGTAAGGAAACCTACAGATCCTTAAGGAACTTAGCAAGTTTTTGAAAGTCTTGTGAAGTCCGCAAAACCACTACCACCACTGGGCAAGAATGGTAGACTATAGCCTGATGCCCCTTTCCTTGCAGGGAGGTCCGTGCACAGCAGTAATATGTTGAATATATATCTACATATACCTACATCTTCTTCTTCTTCTTCTTCTCCCTGCCCATTTCCCAAATCACTTGGGGTCGACGCAGTACATCTTCTGCTCTGCTAATAGGATTTGGCAAAAGTTTTACGACCGGCCGCCTGCCTGACGTCAACCCTCCTTGGGAATGCTATTGTCTTTCTTGGTCTGAATACCTACATACATTTCGAAAAATATAATAACAATAAATATGTTGGGACATTAAGACACAGCCCCATCTAGTTCCATGGTAAGCTACGAGGCTTGTGTTATGGATACCAGATAGTTGATACACTACACATATATAACTTTAAATACATACATACTATAAATATAAACACCCGTGACTGGGGTAAACATTCATGCTCATCACACAAATAAATGCCCCCAGCGGGACTCGAACCCGCGACCGCTGGTACAATGAGTAGGGTCACTACAAACTGAGCCAAACGTGTCGTCAAAAAAGTCAATATCACACATTTATTCAAATAGCTACTTCCTTCTTTAGTAATACAATAATGTTGTTGTCGTATAGACTGATTATTATTATCGCCCAAAATTTTCCAATGTAAATGCCAATGAATTTAAATTAATTTACATTTTTAGTTATTCTTCAAAAATATTTATGAGGATTACTGCGTTATCGTCAAATTACTAGCGACTCACCCTCGCTCTGCTCGAGTTCGTTCCTAGTTCCGTTTTAACGTTTAGTATAGATTTGTCAGAGATGAGATATTTTCCCGCAGTAAAAAATATCCTTATATGTTGACCCGGATAACCAGCTATCATCATACCAAATTTCATCAAAATCTATCCAGCGGTTTTCTGTTTTTGATTTCAATAGGATTTCCCAAAAAATATTTAATGTACAGATTCGATTCAATTAGAATTTTATTAAATGTATAGATTACAAAAGACTTAATTTTCAGTAGAATTTGTTTTTGAAGTTTGCAGTACTTATAGTATTTTAGACATCCTCACGTAACAAGTGCTTCTAAATACAACGCCGAGAGCTTTAGGTTCGATTCCTTTATGGGTAAATTTGTTAACTTAAGAATTTATTTATGAACAGAAGTATCGAGACAATACCTTGCGAAAAAAGCCAAATCAAAGAAACTGTCGCATTACTTATTAATAGTAAAAACTCTATTGTAGAGCGTAGTTTTTTTTTAATAATTAAAGAATAATTACGTAATAATACTTTTTATTTCTACATCAATCAAGTACACATCTTTACAAAGGTTTTAAAATTATATAAACATCCGCTAATCACAGGCAATGGCAATTACCAATTTAACAAGTAGCGACTCCCCCCGATCGGGTACATCCCTAAGTACCGAACAGTGTATTACACTACATACCTATAGTGTATCTGTTGTAATAAACACCGAAATCCGTTCAGCGTTTTAGCGTCAACTAACAAACATACATACACATTCCCCTTTAGATATTTAGTAATTAGTAACAGGGATCGGCTGTTCTTTGTTTTTGTTCTTCTTTTTTTTAAAAGTTGTTTTTGTTCTTTTTTTTTCAGAGAAGACACACATATGTATATGTAGACCTACGAGTATATAGATAATCTTAAAAAGCAAAATATTATCTAAACACAAAATTTGATCTAAATCGTTGGAGCCATAAAATTTTACCTATATACATACATACATACATACATATACATATGTATACAAGAATAGCTCATTTAATATTATAAGATAAGTAAAATAGAAGATAAATAGTTTGTTTTTTCTAATATCTAACCTATATTTCTCTATTTTTCCAGTCAAAAGAGCTACAACAGTCCATGGAGTTGGACCACGGTGACGGCGACGGGCGACTGACCGCGGGCCCCGCGCGGGCCGCCGCCCGCGCTGTAGGCCGGGGGCTGGGCAGGGGTTTCAAAGACTCTACACTAACTTAATATCCTCTTCATATTATTTATTGTATTTAATTACTTTATCATTTAAGTTAACAAATTATCTTTTTACTCTGTTACTAGAGTTTGTCGGTTTTGAGGCTATTATATCTTTGGTGTTGCAATGCATAGTGTTTTTTGTTCCTAAAACGTATTGTATTTTTTTGTTTTAATGATGTATCGTTTGGACTTTGTACATTTTTTACATAACTAAGTTGCTTATTAAATATTCTATATATTAACAGTGATAGATTGGCACACAATTGTGTTGTATAATGATAATAACTAAATGTATTGCAACAACAAAGAACTTTTATTATAGTTTATACGTCATGATAATTTTACATGTAGTTTCGAATGGTTTCACCGCACCCCGCCCGATGAACGAAATGATCCGTCCGATGTCGTTAGCTCCCGTGTCGTCTTGCCGTGGTCGTCTGCGAGTGTGGACATATCTTTATAACCCATATTGTTTGTAATAGATTAAATGTGTGTGTACATATAAACCTAAGATAGAGGCATATTTTCCTTTCCATCCTTAGAAGCTAATATATAGTTAAGCTTTCAAAGCGTATAATTTCAACTTTATTCGTATAATCATAAGCTTTCAAATCGATCAAAACTTATGCACAATCACTACTCTTTTAGGGCGTAATTGGTTAATTTGATACTTTTTCTGTGAATTCATCTATTATCGCAGTACAAGTTACTGTATACGGTTGTGCTAGTTTCAGCGATTGTAGCTTAATGCTGTTTTAATTGCCATGAGTCAATGACTTCGAGCCAGGGCCGCTAACGCTCGTAACATTCGAAGCAGTCATTTTTTCCTATAGCTACACACAGTCGTTGGTCACTTGCTATCTATTATTGAATAAAAACCTCTCGTAATTGTACGGCAATATGTAAAAATATGAAATTAATATTATATTGCACGTAGAGTTGTTAAATTCTTAATAGCTATTATAAAGATAAGTCCACACGTGTGTATCCACTGTAACGGATTTGTTTCCCACCTCGACGAGCGTCTAATTGGAAATACTAAATCATAAAAGGACGTAGGACGCTCACAATACCATATCCCTATTTATAAGATTTCATCAAATCGGGTACAGTCGTTAAAAGTATAAAAATATAATTTATTTAGTTGTGATATATACGGTACCGCGCGCCGGCGGCCGCGCTCCTTAACATGGCGTATAGAAAAGGCAAACGTGTTGCCATGTGGATTATTTCTGAGCAAAATACAGTAAACGACAAGTGTATAAATAATTCATTCGCTCAGGAACGCGCATACAAAACATTTGGCAAATATGAATAGTTGTTTCATTTTGGGACTAGCCTTTTCTATACGACCATGGTAGATACGTGCAATCCAAATGGTTTGTAAATGAATATCGTAGGTAGACAAGTTAAGTGGCGGTGCATTTAATTTATGTATGGGCGCGGTTGAATGCAGATTGAATTTGAAATTTAAATCCGTGAACTTTCGTCCGTGACTGCCTTTTTGAGGGGTTCTTGTATTGTTTAAGCATTAATTATAATAAATCATAGGTGCGGCACCTTCGCATCGTACTTACGCTCTCTCATTTTGACTTGCTGTTTAAAAATACGCATATTCTAGTATAATAACCGACATGACTTTTTTGTCGTAGTTAAATGTACATAATTTCAAAGTCAACCTGCACCTGAGCTCTGTATTTATAGACTAAGTTAACAACTCCTGGCAAGATATTTCGGTGTCATTCTAAATATTCATACGTATTTTATCAATGTTTAGTCTTTGTCCAGGAGTTGTCGGCTTATAGTGACACCAATCGGACTAAAATGAGAGCGGGAGACGATAAATGCGATCTCTCTCTTAGACTTAAGGGTAAGGCTGAGTTTATACAGCACCTTACTTTTAAGTAATTCTAAGTAATTGTTTTATATTAACTTGTAATGTTATTTTTACACTGTTCTAGCATTCTCGATACTATAAAAATAAGTGGTAAATAAAAGTGAATAAGTACCTTAAATGTCAGAATGTCACTTTTGTATGTGAAATGAGGTGTTTTTTTTTTAATAAATAAGCTGAATAGACAAAGGTTTATGCTCACATTAAACCTGCAATGTTAGAATAAAAATTTGTATATCCAAATAGTTTTATGAGCAATGTTGTAATTTAGTGAAACGTGTAACCTCAGCCTTATATTTATATATATATTGTAAGCTAATTATCTGCTCTCATTTCAGTCAGCTTGCGTCTGTGTTAGTGTCTAAAAATTATGTAATATGTACCTATCTTTGTATAATATCTATATACAACTAGGATTGAAAAGATGACAGAAAGTGACGCTGGCTCCTGCACTATCATTAGTGCTAAAATAAACAGAAACTATATTTTGAAAGCCACAGTATAATTACATCACACGTCGCAGTGACTAAATTCATACGCCGCAGAGTACTTCATACTAGATCGATACTGACAAGTGTTAACGAAGCATAAACCCGACAATATGTCTAAATTGAAACGTCGATCAGCAATGGAAATTGTCTGGTATTAAAACAAATTACAAACTGTCTGTCAGCTCTTGGCCTATACGTATAAAATACATAGTTTATAAAAAAGTTATTTTTTATATCAAAAACAATATATTGATTCAAAAATAGCTTTTGTATTAGATATTATATAAAAATAGGTTGAGATAAATGACTTTTTTTTTTTGAAATATCAGTATTTATTTCGTTATGTTTTAAGTTTTCAATGATTTTAATTGTTCTCGTTGCTTTCCTTGGGAATCTTTATCGATTTTTAGACTTAGTAAGTACAATATTGTATGAAACGGGGGATAGACAAACATAATATAACCGATTAACCACATTCTTCAAATTTTTTGAATAATATCGGCGTCTACTTTTATAGTGTAAAATTCCATTTTTCTATGCTGATATGTGAAAGTGGGGCTCTGGCTTAGAAATAAAAATTAATGTCTTCATTGGAACATCCAAAACGTTTGATTATATTTCCTAACATAAAAAAACATATAAAATTCGTGTAATTCTAAGTGTTTTTGAACTGTAAGCCTAAATAGTGAGACAGAGCCTAGCTTGAGCGTGCAACCGGTTCGAGCCGGTCAGTCAGTCCCCCGTTGAAAGGTTGTTGATTATTATGGTTCGTACTCCAAAAGTTTCCTCATGTAATTTATTGACTTGAATAAATGAAATTACGCTTCTAAAGTGTACTATTACATATGTAAATATAGGACAACTAATACCTATTATAATAGTGAATGTTGTAATTTGTATATAAGTAATGAAAATTAAATTTTAAATACATAGATAAATTGTGGGTGTTCATTTATTTTTGTCTCTTTACCATTTCTGAATGACGATAGACTTGTGATTGCATAAAGCTTTATAATAATTAAATATATCAAGAATTAATCATTTCTTTTTAAATTGAAAACAAACTGGAAATTAAGTAATTATTATTAAAAATCCATTGCTATATTTGAGCTAAATTTCAATAATATTATAATAAAAGTATATTTTTACTTTTACACACTACTATTATAACGTAGTAACTTAAGTTTGTTTGTATGTATATTTCTCTTTCACGCTAAAAAGGCTGGACTGATTTGCATGTAATTTAGTGCACATACGACCTGGAGTATTAAGGCATCAGGAAAGAAACCAAGCGAAACGTGGGTAAATCGCTAGTTAAATAAATAATTTCTAAAACAAAGGACAGTAAAAGGGCGAGAGAAACAACAATGAAAAAGTCCATATAGAGAAATATATTCCATTACACAATTCCGACTCGTACATTATTTTACGGAAACGTACATAATGAAACATTCGCACAAAATAAATACGTCAGGCCATTGTTAAGTTTGACGTGAAATATGATTTTTTTAACATCGACTCCTACACTATACACACTTTGTATTATTACATTCAGTACATTGTTGATTTATTTACGAAACTTATTATTTTAATGTTCTTCGTTTCTGATAAAAATCGTATAATTACATAGAACGTAACATCGACGGGCGACCAAGCAAATTAAAAAGATTGCACTTATTTCATTTGAAAAAAAAATACACACGAATTGAGAACCATGCACTTTTTGAAGTAAAAGTAATTTAAATCAATAAAAGAGGCGACAGAAACATTCATTCTCTCGTGATACAATTATAGTACTATGTTGTAGAATTAATCGATGAATTGACTACATACTGTAATGTACAGGAAATAAACTAGAAAGTAGAAAGCTAAGACACGTAACGCCATCTACCGAGAGAAAGTATTAACTAATATGAACGAAACAAAAAAATCCAAATATACACAAGTTTAGCGATAGATGGCGCTATTTTCAAAGAACAGTTCGTAAACTCGTCAAAAGATGGCGCTGAGCCAATGTCAAAATATTAAGCTCATTTTTCAATCATTCTAGAAAAAGTACTTAATAACTTAATTATGGCCTGGCTTGTTTAGTTAAACAATAAAACATTTATTTATACAGCTGTAGTTTCCCATTCATTTATATATAGATCACTATTAATATATTATATATACACGAGATAACAGATTGAAAAATCAGCCCTTATGTGGCAGTGTTAATTTTCACGTCAAACTTAAAACTTGAAGAGCGAAATACTATGATAATCACAGTTTAGGAATGGTGCATAATATATTGAACACCGAAGAAGTAGCTTTACACTTGAGCACTTTTAGATTTTTTATATAAATAGATACATATATGTATCCAATTCATTATCTACAGTTGTTTTATTAAAACTATACTCTTTTATACATTAAAAAAACTATTTAAAATACTTATCGATAACAAAATCGATAGTTTGGTAAAAATAAACACAAAAGTACACAAGTGAAAACTTTTTTACATAAACATTAACATGGGTACATGCAATACATACTGAGAGACGTCAGACGCTGAAAATGCAAGAAATGCACTAAATAATTATATTTATTAGAAAAAATTGTAAAATATAAACAACAAT